GGAGTGTAGCTGTTGTTTCTCACCATTAAAAAGAAAGTTCCAGCTTCCTTTAGATCATGTTCATCGTATTTTTCTCATGGCCTTCACCTCCAGCCTGGATCTTAGAGCACTCAGTTTCCAATCCCCACCAAAAAAGTCATTGTGAGTGTAACCTGATATAAGATTCTAACTTAGCCAATCATGGAAGGCTAAAGAAGGGATGGCCAGAGGCACTGATGACACAGTATGCTGAGCACTTATGAGGTGTGTGGGTAAGCCCCTTATAGTGTCATGATAGTTAACCCTCATAACAACTGCATGGACTAGCTACTATCATTCTTTCATTCATTCATCCATTCAAAGTAAGCTCTATGCCAAATGTGGGGCTCGAACTTACAACCCTGACATCAAGAATCACATGCTCTATTCATTGAGCCAGCCAGGTGCCCCCATTCCCATTTTTTAAAAAAGATTTTATTTATTTGAGGGGCACCTGGGTGGCTCAGTCATTAAGCGTCTGCCTTCGGCTCAGATCATGATCCCAGCGTCCTGGGATCGAGCCCTGCATCTGGCTCCCTGCTCCGCGGGAAGCCTGCTTCTCCCTCTCCCACTCCCCCTGCTTGTGTTCCCTCTCTCGCTGTGTCTCTCTCTGTCAAATAAATAAATATAATCTAAAAAAATTAAGATTTTATTTATTTGAGAGAGAGTGTGAGCATGCAAGTAGGGGGAGCAGAAGAGAGGGAAGTAGAGGGAGAAGCAGACTCCCCGCTGAGCAGGGAGCTTGATGCGGGGTTTGATCTCAGGACCCTGAGATCATGACCTGAGCCAAAGGCAGACACTTCACCGATCGAGCAGGCCAGGCGCCCAGCCCCTATTCCCATTTTTAAATGAAGACGTAGGCACAGAGAGGCTGGGCATCTTTGTCTGAAGTTGTCTTGCAGGGAGCTATGGACTACGGTTCTAACCCAGGCAACGTGACTGAAGGACCTCCACTCTTAGCTCATTTGCTGTCCTTCGTCAAGACTGTGAGCACTACCACCACCAGGACAACAAACAAGAGGCATCATATGAACATCTCACTCATCCTGGGTCTTTCCCTCCTCATGTGGAAAGGACAAAACACCAGTGAGGGACTAGGTGACTACCTACTGGTGCTAGGCTACCAGATCTGGTTTCAAGGGAGGACTGATAATTGAGGGGTAGCCATAGCCAGCCCTCTCCAGGTCTGCCTGGGTCTGCCTGGGCTGCTGAGCTGCCTTGCCCAAGGTCATGACCCTTCCCAGGATGCACCATATCCAATGATTAATTCAGGAGGCTATGTAAAGTTCCGGCATCTAGGGACAATAATTTGGAGGTTGGCTGAGCCCGTTGCTGGGTTCACATGGCAGCTCAACTTTTCCCTCTGTCCCATCCTGCTTCCTGTCCCTCCGTCCAAAGGTGTTGACCTCATGGACATTTTTTAATGAACATCTTGCCACTCTGTCTCAGAGCCTGCTTCCCTGGGAACCCGATCCGTGACAACATCAATTCCATTGACCAGAGAAGTCCGTGGCCTCTCACTTTGTGTCCAGTGTAACTTCCATTCACATTACAGATCTTCCTCAGCTCGTGATGGGGTTACATCCGGATAGACCCACGATAAGTTGAAAATATCTTCAGTCAAAAATGCATTTAGTACACCTAGCCTACCGAACATCATAGCTTAGCCTAGCCCAGCTTAAACGTGCTCAGAACACCCACATTACCCTACAGTTGGGCCAAATCATCTAACACAAAGCCCATTTTATAATGAAGTGTTGAATATCTCATGTCATGTATTGAGTACTGTGCTCAAAGTGAAAAACAGAATGGTTGTCTGGGTACAGAATGGTTGTGAGTGTATCGGTTGTTGACCCTCGTGATCTCTGGGCTGACTGGGGGCCTCGGCTCCCTGTCTCTGCCTGGCATCATGAAAGAGTCTCATACCACTTCTGGCTGGACCAGAAAAAGATCCAAATTCGAAATCTGAAGTATAGTTTCTACTGAACGCATTTCACATTCGCACCATCGTAAAGCTGAACGATTAAGTCAGACCATCGGAACTTGGTGACCATCTGTAGTTTCAAAACCATCTGCCTTATTTTAAGAACCTTTGATTTTTTTATGTTTCCTGATAAATACCCAAGAACTTAAATTTATAAAATTCTCAAAGGTCAGCCATACAAGGACACAATGCCCCCTTTTGTGTCAATAGACTTTTTTATTTAAAAAAATTTTTTTAAAGATTTTATTTTTAAGTAATCCCTACACCCAACGTGGGGCTTGAACTTACAAGCCTGGTATCAAGAGTCTCATGCTCTACTGACTGAGCCGGCCAGGTTCCCTCAGTAGGCTTTATTTAGAGAAGTTTTAGGTTCACACCAATATTTAGCGGAAGGTATGGAGTCTCCTACACCGCCTGCCCACCCCATCCTCCAGGCACAGCATCCCCAGATATCCATGTCCATTTCCTTTGGTTTCGGCAATAGGTATAGGTTATGCAAGTAGACTTCTTTAAACCCAAAACTTTCATTAAAATAGTTTATGTGATTTTTTTAATTGTTATTTTTAATGTTTGAATGGTTGGCAGACTTGATTTCAATAGGCTCTTACTCGGCAACTCGCTAGACTTTTTGAGTCCCAGTGTCCTCGTGTGTACAATTGGAATAACAGTTTTGGGGAGGATTAAATTAGATAACATATTCAAACTCCAAGCTAAGTGCCTGGCATTTAATATTCAGAAAATGGGCATTTTTTGGGGGAAGATTTTATTTATTTGTGTGTGAGAGAGAGAGAGCACTAGCAGGGGGAGTGGCAGGCAGAGGAAGAAGCAGGCTCCCCTCTGAGCAAGGAGCCCAACCCAATCCGAGGACCCTGGGATCATGACCTGAGCTGAATGAAGGCAGACGCTTAACCGACTGCGCCACCCAGGCGACTCGAAAACAGGCATTTTAATGTAAACTTGGCACTGCGTAGGCCATAGCATGTATGTGTTTTCCATGGCTCCTATAACACATTACCACAAACTTGGTGGCTTAAAACAGCAGAAACGTATTCTTTCATGCTCCTGGAGGCTGGAGGTTCTAGGGGAGAGTCCTTCCTGGCCTCTTCCAGCCTCTGGTGGAGGCTGACACTGCTTTACTGTGCTGCATCAGCTTGCATGCTCACATTGTCTTCTGTCTGCCTCCCTTTTATAAGGATACGTGTGATTGCACTTAAGGCCCACCCTGATAACCCAGGATAATCTCCCCAACTCAAGATCTTTAATTTAATCCCGTCTGCAAAGACCCTGTTTCCATATAAAGGAACACTTCCAAGTTCTAGTGATTAGGATCTGAAATCTTTGCTTACCACAGTTTACCATACAGGGTGACACATTTCCTATCCTGCCTTTATAAGGCATGGTCCTAAACATTGCACCTTTGATCACTAAAATAGTTCTTTGCCCCTTCTAGTTTGTCATTCAAAACCATCTGCTTTATTTATTTTTTATTTATTTATTTTTTTATTGAGAGAGAGAGAGAGAATGATAGAGAGCATGAGAGGGAGGAGGGTCAGAGGGAGAAGCAGACTCCCTGCTAAGCAGGGAGCCCGATGCGGACTTGATCCCGGGACTCCAGGATCATGACCTGAGCTGAAGGCAGCCACTTAACCGACTGAGCCCCCCCAGGTGCCCCTGCTTTTTTTTTTTTTTTTTTTTTTAAGATTTTATTTATTTATTTGAGAGAGAGAAGGAGCAGGTAGGAGGAGCATACTCCGCACTGAGCAGGGAGCCCCTTGTGGGGCTGCATCCCAGGAGCCTGAGCTCAGGACCCCAGCTGAAGGCAGATGCTTAACCAATTGAGCGACCGGGGCACCTGCATCTGCCTTATTTCAAGAAACTTCTTCCCTCTCCTAGAGGGACAGGGGCTCCCAAAGTTGGGTAGTTTCATTAAGGTCTCAGCACTGGGCCATGTTGCTATTGTGGAGGCATCTTTCCAAGGTTTTAATTAATTCGAGGATGTAGCACCATTTCTCAAACTTACATATCCCAGGCATCTGTGTTTCAGTAGGTCGTGTGAAGTTTGGGAATCCGAATTTTTCAAAGCTCCCCAGGGGAAGCTTATCATCAGCCAAGATTTGGCTACTTTTTGATTTCTACAAACTCCTGCACCAAACTCGTGGATATAGGGAATTCCCTTTCCCGCCTGCTGGGTTACATGGTCATGGTTACATGACTAAGGTTTTATTAAAAGGGTGGAGTGGGGGGAGGGGAGGAAGAGCAACCCTGAAAAATGAACACTCCTATCTGTACAGTATTCACTGAAAGAGTTCCCTTTCGGGACAACTTCCAATTCCGAATTAAACAGAGGATGACGACTGCCTGGATTTGGCAGTCCTGCCGCTGTCACTAGCTGGGGACCTCGTGGGTCTAACTGATCAAGCCCCGGCCGCGCCCTCGGCGGGAGCCAAGCCTCTTCCTCGGTGGGAGCAACTCCAGCGAGGGGCGGGGTGGTGGCGGCTGGGCTACTCCAGCCCGCGTGCGGGAGTCCGTAGACCGGTCGGTAGGCATTGGGGTGGGCGGGCAGCCACTCCAAAGTGACGCGGGCAGGGGGCGTGGGGAAGCGTCGTTGTATTTATTCTGGACGGAGAGCCGGGTGCCGGGGCCGCTCTGCGTTGCCGGAGGAGCTGTCCCGAGTCAGAGAGCCGGCTGGTTCTTCGGGAAGCGCGAAGAACCCAGCGCCCGCGGTTGGCCAGGTGGGGGCGGCCGTGGTGCGCCGGCCCGACGCACAGAATATTTTCGGGAGTTATGGAAGTCCCTTTGGGGATGATGCGGCTCAGAGTCTGGCTCTGGCGGGAGCGATGAGGGCGCAGTGTCCAGCTCAGCCGTGAGGTGTTGGGGCGCAGTCAGGCTCAGCCGGGAGGAGGTGGGGGTGCAGGGTACAGCTCAGCCTTGGAGTGATGGGGTCGCAGTGTCAGGCTCAGCCAGGACAGGATTGGGGGGGCTGGCTCCCCCGGGGGTAATGGGGGCTCATTGTCAGGTTCAGCCGGGGGTGATGGGGGCTCATGGTCAGGTTCAGCCGGGGGTGATGGGGGCTTATTGTCAGGCTCGGCCGCGAGGTGCGGGGGACACCGGCTCAGGTTCACACTGGCCGGGTAGGAGTTTGCAGCCGCAGCCGGGGGCGCGGTTCCCGGGCGCAGCAGCGGGAGGCGCTGAGCGCCGGGGTCCGGAGCTCCCGCGGAGCCAGGCGGCGGGAGGAGCCCAGCGCGGCCACCGCCTCCTCCGGCCGCAGGCTCCTCCTCTCCCCCCGCCTCCTCCGTCTCGTCCGCCCGCCCGCCCAATCGGCAGCCCTCGGCCCAGCACAACCGGGCCGCTTGTCTGGCCGGCGGAGGCTGAGCGCGACCTTCGCGAGCCGTGGCGCCCGCCGACCTGGGGCAAGCGGGACTCCTGGGACCCCGCTCTGCCCCGCGCTGCCGCTGCCTCCCTTCGTGACGGGGACGCTGGGGCGCGCGCCGCCGGGGCCGAGGCTCCCTTCCTCCCGGAGGGGAAGGAGCGGAGAAAGCCGAGCGGCTGCTCCCGGAGCAAGCGAGCCGAGGCCCCTGCCCGCGAGGCTCGGGGCTGGAGGAGGCGGAGGCGGAGGCGGAGGGAAGTGCGCGTCATTCCCGGGAGGAGAGCGTTTCACCTCCAGGCAGAGAGAGGCTGCGGCTGCCAGTTGCATAAAAGCGGCGGCGGCGGCGGTGGCGGGCGCGGGGCTCCCGGGGCTCTCTGGCAATGGAGAGAAGATCCGGACCCGGGGACGCTAGGAGCTCGGCTCCATCTCTTTGGACCGCGGTGTAGGCACCTGGAGTAACCGACGCTAAGTGGGGGAGGGGAAGGTAAGCAGCGGAGGGCTTCCCCCCCCCCGCCCCGCCTCCCCAGCTGCGCGCAGGGGCCACCGCGAGGTCGCCGCCCGCGGCCCCGCGCACCGTCCCGGCTCCCGGCTCCCGGCGGCCTGGCATTTAGGCATTTCTGCTGAAATGGCAAACATCCTCCCGCCCTCCCCCCGCGCTCCGCGATTCCCGGTCTCTCCTCTCTGGATCCGGAGTAACCGGACTCCCCCGGAGTAAATCCTCTCCGTAAGAAGGGGTCTGGGGAACCGCGTCTCGGTTTCTTTCTCTCCGTCTCTCTTTTCATTACGTTTACGGAGAAGGAAACAATGGACCTTTGAAAGTCGGTGTGAACAGCCTCAAACTTTCCGGAGAGGGTTGGGGTGGGGGGGAATAAACCCCACAGGAAGCACAGTGAAAGGCTGGTGGAATGTGCATTGCAGAGTCTCGACTTCGGTGCGCGCGCGGACGCGTTTGGGGGTGACCATTGTCTCTTTACTATTCCCCTGGGTTGGTGAACCGAGCCCTCACCCCTTACCCCGCTTTGTGTTAATAAAAGTAAGGGGGGGACTTAAAAACCACTCGCAGCTTTCTTTACAGCTGGGGATAGCCTTAGCACTGGACCCCACTCCCAGCTTTACTCTGCAGAGTTGGGAGGTCTTGGCAAGGGAGGTGGTCCTGCTCTGTGAGGAGTTCAGTAGTTAATGCCAGTTGCTATATCCTTTGCAATAAAACCAAGGTCCCGATGTCCCTGGATGCTCTCTGCCGAGGATTGTCACCAGACCTCGCTGTGAAGCAGAAACCACTCACTCAAATTCTCTGCCTAAGGTTAGGAAAACAGACTTTGATATACGTCTCCTTTCATCAACAGTCGGGGCTAAGGATGGAGTGTTTAATAATTTTAAGAACTTTCATTCCGCTCGGGAGCCACTCACTGGCTTGTGGCCACTCTCCTGGTCTCAGAGTGACAGTGTGATGCGGTGTTGCATAATTGCACGTGTTGAGGGTGTGCAGATGTTGTTTTCGGGAGCGCTTCCCGGGACAGAATGAGAATTTAGAGGCAGTGGGCTGGTGGGAGATTTCACCTCAGCTGAGGGAGGCCTCCGCCCTCCGGGCAGACATAGACATACCTGTTGGCAGGGGCTCTGTTTTAAGAAATGCATTTCAAGTATTTGGCCTTAGGGTTCTTTGGTGGGCAAAAAGGAGGTATTAATCTTGAAGGAAACTTGCTATTTTCAGAATTGGTCTGGGCATCATGCTCTGGTTTGTGCGCCTTTGATTAGCTATTCAAAGGGCTCTTTGGGGCTTGCATTTTTGGGCAAAGCAGAAGAAAGCAGTAGGCACTGGTGCTTAGTAGACACTAGGTAGTACCTTCTGGTGTTGTGTCCTTTACCTTAAAGTTACTCCCCTGACTTTCTGCATACCTGCACTCCAGGGTCAGTGTGTGGGGTGGAACTAGAAGTCTGCCCCTGGGTTTCAGTTCATTCCACCTGATGCTGTTTTATCTGATGAATGGGTGTTTAAGCTCAGAAAATTAAGGTTAGAAGGGAATTTTGAATCCTCACCTACCTGTCCGGCTTTAACAGCCTGTGAACGAAGCCGAGGCATGTGTGGACAGGGAGGTCGGATCAGTACATTCTTCTCCTGTGCTTGTTTAGGTTTTCTTGGTCACTGCGAATTGTTTGAGTCCAGGCTCCTTTGTTGATCTAACCTGTAACCTACAGATTTTCTGAAGTCTCAGATTTCACAACAGGAAACCAGAATGGGACAACACCTCCTTCGTGTTCTAATGAACCTAATTTAGCCTGTTCCCAAGCTACCTTGGGAATGGTGGGAAGACAGACTAGAAAGTAAAGTAGCGGTGGGCCATTTCCGAAGTCGAAAGGCTACCACTAACCTACCAGCTCTGCACCTCTGGGCCCTGAATTTGAGAATGATACGACGAGCCACGCTGCAGAAAGAGAACATTGGAATGCTTATTATTAAGTACAGTTTTAGACTCCCATGGGATATTGGATGTAAGGGTGTACTTTGTAAAGTGCTATAAAATAGGATCTTGCATCATCCACCCACCCACCAACCATGCATTCAACTAACAATTATTATTCACCTACTGTGTGTCAGGCACTTGGGAAGCACTCTGAATGCCCACTGTGTGCTTGTCGGTAGGGAGAGGGAGTTGGATGGAGTGGTTCAAGCTTGGAAGTCACAGGGAGCCAAGATCATCTGTGTGGTGGCTTCCGTCTGTAAGGAAAGAGGAGCTGGTCTCTGCTGTTGAAAGGAATGAGTCTAGGCTGGGGGAAAAGGAAATGAACAATTAGAGAAAGCCCAGTACGTGTGTATGAGTGTTTGGAGCATCATGCATAGAATGCTTTAAGAATCCAGAAGAGGACCAGATTGGGGGGCGGGGGGGATGGTGATGAGGAAGCAATTTAGTGAAAAATAAAGTTTTCAAAAATCAGACAAAAATAACAGGGGCTGAACGCTGGTGTCAGGGGTACCCTTTTAAAACGTAAAGATTGGAGTACTTGAAGTCAGAATTGAGTTTAAAACGAGGCTCTGACATTTGTTAACCATTTGCTGCCGGCCAAATGCCCTACTTCACGTTTGTTCATCTGTAAAATTAGTTTAAGAATACTTTATTGAATTCTTTGAGGATTAACTTTTATTTAATTCGCTGTGTATATAATAAAGTGCCCTTTCCAGAGTGTTCTGAATCGCAGCTTGAGTGCAGTTTTTCAGACGGTTGTGCTGGATATTGTCATAAGGCATTCCTCAACGTGTCCAGGCATCTTCCCATCCCAGCCACAGGAAACCTTTTCATTGCCTTTGGGTTGTGAGCACTAATTAGAAGGATGGGCTGGCTCGTACCGTACCTCAATTGAGAGGGGCTTGTCTCGGTCTGTACAGTAACTGCCACGTTCTCCCTCCACCCCCCCGCCGCCCCATCTCCCAAGTCAAGCTAGCCCTTCTGCTTTTCTCTCTCCCAACAAGATGAATAGGGAAAAGGGAAAAGGAAGGAAAAGCCATGCATCTGCATTTTTGAGACCCTGACAGTGACCCTGACTAGTTTTCTTAGTTTGTAAAGAGGTGGAATTTTCAACAATGCTATTAAAAAAAAGGCTGTTCCCCCAGTAAGAATAGTTGCTGTCTGGGTGAAAGTGAATCTGGAAGCACTATTTGTTTTAACCTACTTGCCTTATTCTCCACTTGAAATGGACCTAAGCTCATCTGACATTTTAATAAGTTGCCTTTGACAGAAATCCATACTCACATATTTAAAACTATCATGTTCAGTGTGATTGGGGGGGGGGAGTACGAATGTAAATCACTTTTCAGGACATGGTGAATCTTAGCATGTAGTTTGAAAGGGCTTTAAAAATAATATTAAAATGAGGAAGTTGAGACCCAGAGAGCCTAACTAATTAGGTAAGGTCATATAATAAATTAATGGCTGAGCAGGGACAAGAACCCCTTTGTCCTTATTTCCAGTCAGCGTTTCCCCCCCCCTCTAATATACTCTTAATTTGTTCCTGTTTGGTTTTGTTAGCAGTTTAGTTATTTTAATGTTTTAATGGGGAAGTAATTTGCACTTGGGCTTAGAAACCCATTGCACCCAAGTTTAAAGCAGACACTCTACCTTTTTTGTTTGGGAGGATTTACACGTGATATGATGTACGCAGTGGGGTGATGTTACTTGTAAGAAATTTCTGGCAAATAGGGAACTAAGTGTAAAAATAATGTTAGCTTTACTTGCATTTTTCACAAATAGTACATGAATGTAAAATATTGTAGAAGTGCACATTTTTTAAAAAGCAAGTTCCTGGAAACATTATTCAGATTTGTGTTGTGAATCATAGGATAAAAGTGTATTAGAAATATGTTGGCATGGTCTTTTGTTTTCCCTGTACTTGCTTTGGGAAGCCATTAATGTTGGTTGTCAGGAACTATGTTTGGCAAATATTTTATTGCATTCCTAAGATGTGCAAGGCTCTGTGCTGGTTGCTGTGAGCAGTACCAAGATGAATGAAGCATAGGGTCTTTATTAAAATGCCTCTTTAAAAAAAATGGCACAGACTGGGATGCTGTGTATGACTTAAAGCTCAGAATTGCTATCTCCCATCAAATCAGTCCTTTGATCGATTAGGCAAATCTGCCTTGAAATTGTTATTATTAGTCTAACCTTGTAGCCAGATTTGTAACATGACATTTATTTTCATTACATGGTCACAAGTGATCAACCTTTGATATTTATCTTATCAGGACTCCATCTTAGTTTGGACAATAAGTAAAAAGTTGACAGCATTTGGAGACTTTATATTATGAAAAGTTTGCCTCAGAGAGCTTGTAGCAGTCTTAGCTTTAATATAGTTTTTAAAATGGTCTTAACACAGCACAGAAGTGTGATTGGAACATTGTTGCCTGAAAGGATTGCAATTTAAGACGGTCCATGTTGAGCCACTGAGAAAAGAATTGTCCTCATTGACTCTAAGTTTGATATAAGTATCTTAAAACATAGGAGTATCCGCAACAAGCCAGATGTCTTGGTCATATCTAATTATGAAGTCTCTCCGAAGAGTGTAATTGTTACTGATTTGGGGGCTTCTGCCTAATTATTGGCTCGTGCTTGGATACTGCCCATCTCCTATTCTTATGATGGTCCTTACTGATGGTGACTCGCTTCCCTGAAGAATGAGTAATTTTTTTTGCATACAATGAGGTTGGAAAATTAATTACTAACATTTTAGGGAGTGGAAAGATTAAGTTGAGCACAAGGACAGATGCCTGATCCCTGCTTCAGAAGGAATGAGAAAAATGAGTCATTTTGGTTTTTACTACTGCCAGTGGTACCCTTAAAGTCCACTTCGTATGGGGATTTATAAAATTCTCTTTCCTTAATGCCAAAGATGTGGCTTTAATTGTGCAATGGGTACTTGATGACAGCCATTCCCCAGCCACCCTAGGACATGCTCCGATAGAAACGAAGTGCTAGTAATACTGAGAAGCTA